AAAAAAAAAAAAAAAAAAAAAAAAAAAAAAAAACGCAGTTTTTTTATTTATTGAAATAGCTTCATTCACCCAAACCCCCCCACCCAAAAATCGTTTTTTTTTTCATTTTTTTTTGCTTGAGGGGGTGGGGCCGGGGTTGCACCGCCCCATGGCGCTTTTCGAATCTCCAACCCCCCTCGCCACCGGGTCGCGCGGTCGCGCGGACGCGTCCACGGGGTCGGCGGACTGGCCGCGTCTGCGGATTTCGCCGCGCTCGGCCGCCGCCGAGGGGGATTCATAGCCTGTCTGTGCTTCTGCTATCGTTGCTGCAGCCCTCTGCACCCCGTCCACGTACACCCGTGTCGATTCTGCAAGTGCCACACTCATCCCCGACATGGACGCAGACCCATCCCCGTCGTCCACCCTCCCAGTGGACGTGCACCTCGTCTTACCGGCGCTGGCGTTGCCACAGACCGCTCCCGGTCCGAACCACCACTATCACTCGACCCTCTCGCCGAAATGTCCCCGTCCTTGGCATTGAGAGAGTCCGAGTTCAGCGTATTGTCACAGGTCCCCGACGGCTTTTGCAGAATCCAGTCCATCTCCGCCCACAACCTCCGATCAAAGTTGGCGTACAGCCCCTCCGCCTCCCTCTCTTCTATTGTCATGTCGAAGTATCCCAGCTTCCTAGACCGACCGACGTTGTCTGCGAGCAACTTCAACTTCTGCCCCAACGCGAACCACTTCTTCCGACAGTCTTTCGCAGATCGATCCCACCCTTCATCCCTTATCCGACGGGCGATCCACTCTCGTCTTTCCCCATGCTTCTTCACCTTGTGCACACTCGACGCATCCGCTATAAGAGCGTCGTCTTCATGCTGGATCCTAGCAAGAGCCAAGCACTCTTCTAGTGATCATTGAACTTTTTTTGCGCGGGAAGAGGTTGCACACCGGCCCTGCCACAAACGCCTCCTGGATTCGTGCCCTTCATCGTAGTGCTTTCGTCCACGCAGCCTCCGGCCTGTGCTGACGTGGACGTTGCGCCAGGAGGACGCCCACGTTTGCGCCTTGTCGGCCCTCTGCCTGCCCCAGCTCCCGTGGCGAGGGAAAATGGAGATGGTTGTTGGAGCACCGCTGCGGCAGGCACATCGCCAGCATTTGGCCGATGCCCGTGCGTGGGCGTTGCATGGCCACTGCTCTCGGGCGCTGGTCGAGGAGGATTGTGAGTGTCACCATCTGCCACGTGTCCTCCGCTGCAATGTTCATAGCAGTATTAGCGGCCAAATTCCTGACTTGCATCACCCTAAACCCCACCCTGCTCCCGTCGATGCTGCACTCCACGCCGTCGTCTTCCTCCGGCAACGTTGCTGTGAATACCCCAGGAGGCACCGATCTAGCAGCGAAACTGCTGAAATGAGTGGACGTTGCGTGGGGTTGAGGGAACTCCAGCATCCATTGTCCGTCGTAAGCAGCGGCCATTGCCGACTGCTGGAAAGGATGCTGGCTCGCACAACGCATTTCAGGCAGGCCTGGTGGATCGTTTCGCCATTGCGGCAGCGGCCTGACTTGGGAAGGAAACGAAGGGGAAACTTCGTACCTGTCCACATCCTAGCTTAACATGGACAGGTGTGCTGGTGGAGAGGCAGGCTGTAAACCCCGCATACCCTCCGACCAGTTTCGATGCTCTGTCTCGCCATACTGTTGTTGAAAGGCTGCCTCCTGCGACCAATGTCGCCTGTCCATGTCACGTACTCACCCCACACCTCCGGAAAGGTCCAATCTTTGGGTGGATTTTCCGTGTTCTCACCTCGTGGCAGACCTTGGGCGGAGGACAACCCATAGCACCACCGCTACCAGCAACAGCAGAACAATGAAGAGAATGGTGATGGCGACAACAACCAAAAGAAGAAGAAGGGTGATCGCCAATGCACAAACGAAACTGTAGTCCGTGCTCCGACCCTGTCCCACGTCCTTGCCCCTGCAGCTCGACGATGAACGACCCTCCCCCCAATGGCCGAAACTGTCCTGTATCCCCTCCCTTCCCGCAAGCCGCTATGGACGTTGCACTGTCCCCCACTCTCTCATAAGCCCCCCAGGATGTGTAGGTGACGCGTGGACGAAGAACGGCTCGGTAAGGAACTGGAGGATAGGAGAATGGAAGATGTGACTGGTAGATGCCTGACAACAAGCGAGCGCCCATCCAAGCCAATCTCCTGAGCACAGGGTACAAACGACACACCCGAACAATCTTTCCCGCGTGCCCTTCTGCACGGTTCGCAAGGTGTGCCTTCCACGAAGGTGATCCACAAACGGATTGGCCAGATGCAGCAATCCAATGCCTTGCAGCAAGACCGGTGCCGATCACCGTCAATGCCCTGCCTCCAACCCTGGTCGGATGGAGTCGATGCACACCTCGGGCCAGAGTGCGGGCGATGGATGGCGTGCGCTGCATCCCTATCCTGGCTATGGCGTCGGCGTCGATGATAATGCCCGACGTTTCGTCAACGTGCATGCCTCATGCAGACGAGGGGCTCATGGACAGAGTGCGTATTCGTCTGGGCCGAGCATGGTTGCCCCCTGCATTCCGTTTGTAGAATTTTTGCCCTTTTTTTTTTTTTTCACCTCCCAGCCTTTTCAAATTTCGGAATGTCCACCGCGAGCCGAAAATTCAAAAACGCGCGCGGGCCCGTCGTGAGACACGACGGGGTAGCCTGGGACCGCTCCATCCCCTGTGTGACAGCGGATGCATGTCCGCCCTCTGCCCAGGACCACTCCACCGGACATTTCACAGGTACGGCCACCTCCATGCACGCAGCTCTCCGTTGGCTACGGAAGGGGTGCCCCCCCCCCTACCCTTCCGTAGCCGATGGAATTCCTGGTTGGCCGGGGGTACGAACGGGCCGCGGGGGGAGTGGAAACACTTCCCCTCGAATTCCAGAAACCGCCGCGCACGTCTGTGGGATTCCGCAGACCACATCTTGGAATTCCAAAATGTTACTGCGCTGCTGTGGGGTCCCTCCCTAAAAAAGGAGACAAACCTCGGTGGGCAAGAAAACACAATTGCTTGCATACTACAGTCCAAAAAATATAAAGGTTGCCATCTGCTATCAGCTTTGTGACCTTTCAGATGCAGGTCGAGCAATTTTCAGTGCCATTCAAAAGGGCCACCCTGTGTGAGTATGCCTCACACCTAATTGTCAAAATTGCAGATTTTGCAATTTTAACCACTGTGTGTGAGTATAATGACACCTGATTTGGGGCCTGGTTCCACTACTCTAGAATATAGACTTCGTGAGTGACGCCTTGCTCCACTTACTCTAGACACCAACTTGCGAAAACACACTAAAAGATCTGTCACAAAGCACTCTCAATATCAGAAAGCACTCTCAAGCGCACTCACCAAGCATCTAGAGTTTGCAGACTGCAACCCTTTGGATTTCTAATGGGCTGGCACTGTCTCGTAGCACACTAGAAATGAAAGAAAAATGCTCACGAAATTTGGGAGTGCGTCTAGAGCGTGGGCGTATAAAGTAAGTGGAGAGAGGCTTCTTCTTCTGACAGCTCACTCACAATTTCTTTCACGAGTCTAGAGTAGTGGAGCCAGGCCCTTGCTCTACCCTAGACTATGACGACTCTAGATCAACACTAGAAACTTTTTTCGAGTCTAGAGTAGTCGAGGTAGACCCAATTTCTATCCAAACTACTTTGCCCGCAGTGGGGTCCAAGCCTAGAGTAATGCCGCCAACCTGATTTCCACCCACCGGCCAGTGGGGTCCAAGCCTAAGGGTCTCGCTCCACTTCTCTAAACTCTCAAAGATTTTCGAGAGTGAGTCTCGAGCTGTCAGACTCTGGAAAAGACCGAAAAAGCCAACATTGCTCCGCTTACTCTAGATGGTCGAACTCGAGAAGGCCTCTTGGATGTCAGAGCGCTGCCTCTGACATCCGCTTTTCCAGAGAACTACACGATGCGACCAGCACGTGTTATTGGCCCAGACTCCAGGTGCACTCTAAAAAAAGTGCTCAACTTTCTAAGGTCCTGATGCCTCCCTTGAAATTCCCGCCTGCTGTTGCAGGCGGGCGCTCTTGAACCCTCGGACGGATTCTCTTCATTTTCGTAAGTGCAGACTGACAGCTCAAGAACGCTATTTCTAGACCTTGTGTCTAGAGTGAGTCCGGCGCTCAAGAAATGGTCTGTCTCTAGAGTAGTGGACCGAGACCCTAAGCCTTTGAGTGACAGTTCTCAGAAACAAGCTTTGGCTTTCGAAAAATCTGAGAGGGCAGTCTGTAGAGGGCAGACAACAAAGAAGAGCGGACACGTGGCTCAACCTATTCTCCATGTGAAAGCACCCAAAGAAAAAGACTCTCAGCACATGCTCACACTAGGACTTTTTTTTCCAGTTATTTCGGGACTGAAGTGTCCTTAGTGTCGCCAGATGCATCCAGGTGGGGCAGCAATGCGGTCACACACATTTAAGAGATTGCTAACGTGAGTGGGCCCTTAGGGCGTGAGTATGTCCTCACTGACAAGGACTTGTCGCAGTGGAGCCACAGCTGTTGCAGAACATGTCTCTCTCTCTCTCTCTCGCCCGCACACGCGCACATCCCTTCCCCCCCTCCCTCCCT